CAGAAGAGAGAAAAGAGGAAAAAGAGGAGGGGGGGGGATAAGAGAGGAAGAAGCGGATAAGGAGGGGGGGGGGAGAAGATAGAAAGAAGCGGATAAGGGGAAGGAGAGAGGGAGTTCCCCCACTGAATCTTCCAGCGAGCAATCCAGGTTCCGACCAGCCCGAAATTTCCGACTTTCTCATGAGTGACGGTTGTATAGATATCTTTTCTTAGATACGCTGCCTGTTCACACACATTCCATACATACACACACACAATAGATAGATACAAATAAGTACATAGACATTAGCTTATACCATAAACCTACGAAAAAAAATCTACCACAATATAAAACAATTAAAAGAAACGTTTACCCCCTACGTAAAAAAAGAAGAAAAAAAGACAATGTGATGCTACTTACTACTCTAACTGTGCGAGAGAAAGAATGACACGCCCACGCATGCGAGCAGCCTTGGCGTGCCTGAGCCACATTGCGAGAGGCGGCGGTCAGTGTCTAATTGACGTAAAAGCCGACCGCACGCGCACGCACACACGGGGAAAGAAAGGGAGAGAGAGGGAGAGAGGGAGAGAGGGAGAGAGGGGGAGGGAGAGAGGAGAGAGGGGAAGGAAGAGGAGGAGGAGGAGGAGGAGGAGGAGAGGAGGGAGAGAGAGAGAGAGAGAGAGAGAGAGAGAGAGAGAGAGAGAGAGAGAGAGAGAGAGAGAGAGAGAGAGAGAGAGAGAGAGAGAGAGCATCCATCCATGTGGTTTACTTTCTCTCCCAAGTCTCCCAAGTCTCGTTTTCTATAGCTATAGTCATTCTTCCTCGTTTTCGCTAACATATCGTCAAGCGCCTATGCTGCTTTCTTTTTTTGATTAAGAAATTCATCAGTAAACGTAACAAAGCTATTTAGAGAGATGATTAAAGACAGTGAAAGAGGGAGAGGGAGAGGGAGGGGGAGGCAGAGAGAGAAAAAGAGAACGAAATAGATAGAAATACCCAGAGAAAGGGAGAGAAATAGATAAAAAGAGAACGGGTGGTAGTGAGGAGAGAGAGAACACCAGATAAGAATTTCATAATCGTGTTATCTCTGCCACGTGTAAACCTGTCAAACCTTTAAAGTGGTACGTAGTAAAGAATTATTTTTTCTAGTGATAACCTCCGTTACCAAGATGTGTAGCAAGAGCCAGACTCCATTAAAGCATACAGATAAGTACAGATAAACAATGGAAAAACAAAAACAAATTAGAGAAGAAAAAAACAAAACAATTAAAAAGTAACAAATAACTTTCAAAAAGACGACAAACAGATAAAATCCACATTCTCAGATCCGCGTGATTCTCATTCTACGCACCGCAAAACGTGTTCCCAATACTCAAGAAAACGCCCCCCTCCCCCCTCTCTTAAAGAAAAAAAAAGAAAAGAAAAGAAAAAAACATGTAAAAAAAAAGAAAACAAAGAAAATAAAATAGAAAAACAGGTCTGGTTCCAAACGTCTGGATGAGAAGGCGACCTTGAGCTCCGCTATGCTAACTTTTAGACCCATCATGGAGGTCCCGTTGCAGCGGCCGAGTCTCCTACCTGGTTGGGCTTAAGGAGGTGGGGGGGAGGGAGAATAAAGGGGCGAGGGAGGGGAAGGAGGTGGGGGGGAGGGAGAATAAAGGGGCGAGGGAGGGGAAGGAGGTGGGGGGGAGGGTGAATAAAGGGGCGAGGGAGGGGAAGGGGAATGGAAGGAGAGGGAGGGGAAGGGGGAGGGAAATGAGAGGAGAGGGAGGGGAAGGGAGGGGGAGATGGAAGGAGAGGGTGGGGAATGAAGAGAGAGGGAGGGGATGGGGGAGGGAAATGAGAGGAGAGGGAGGGGAAGGGGGAGGGAAATGAGAGGAGAGGGAGGGGAAGGGGGAGGGGGATGAAAGGAGAGTGAGGAAGCGAAGGACTAGAGACCACAGAAATGTAATTAAGGAATGGCGTTGAAGTGATAGACTGGAAACGAGAAAAGTGTGTAGGAGAGGGAGGGAGTGAATGAAGGACTGGAGACCAGAGAAGGGTGGATGGGATATGGACAAGGAGGGAGAGGAGAGGGAGGGAGAGAGGGGGAGAGAGAGGGAAAGAGAGGGAGAGAGAGGGAAAGAGAGAGAGAGAGAGAGAGAGAGAGAGAGAGAGAGAGAGAGAGAGAGAGAGAGAGAGAGGAGAGAGAGAGAGAGAGAGAGAGAGAGATAAAGTGCCTGGCCGACGGGTACACTACAAAGTCTCCCCAATAGATAACCTTACTTCTAAAATATCATTCATGGCAGAAAAAAGCAGCATCGGTCACTTGTCTTGTGTTTGTTGTAACCTTCATCATAGTGCAACGGCATTTGTTTTCTTCCGGGTCTAAAACTGCGCGCATGAAAGAGCATAATGCTATTTAACCTTAATTTTCGTCTGTCTCTGTCTCTCTCTTTCTCTCTCCCTCTCCATCCATATCTCTGTCTCTCCATATCTCTTCCACTTTCCCTCTCCCTCCATATCTCATCCTCCCTCTCCCTCCCCCTCCATTATCTCTCTCTCTCTCTCTCTCTCTCTCTCTCTCTCTCTCTCTCTCTCTCTCTCTCTCTCTTTCTCTCCCTCCGTCTTTCTTTCTGTCCCTCTCTCCCTCTCCCTCATTCCTTGATTACATATAATAAAATAAAAAAATCACCATATTCTGCTCATCCCACATACATAAAATTGACCTTCTTCAAAAGTTACACCAAGTTTCTACGGTCCACTCATTCCTTTTTTTTTCATTTCCTTATCTAAAAATGTAGAAAACTCCTTGGGTCTTATCTCCTTATCGCGGAGGTGAGAACGGAGCGAGAACAGCGACCTCCATGCGACTGTGCAAGAGGAGGAAAAAGAGAAGGAGAAGGAGGAGGAGGAAGAAAAGGAAGAGAGAGAGAGGAGAAAAAGGAAGAGAGAGAAAGGAGAAAAATGAAGAGAAAGTTGAAAAAGGAGGAACAGAAGAGGGGAAAAGAGTAGGAAAGGGGAAAGGATGAGAAGGGGAAAAAGTAGGAAAGGGAAAAGGATGAGGAGAGGGAAAAGAAGAGGATGAGGAGAGGGGCTAGGGAAGGAGAAAGAGGAGGAGGAGGAATGTGAGAAGAAAGAGGGGGGGGGAGAAGGAAAACGAAAATGATAGGGAGGTAGAGGAAAAGGAAGAAAAGGGGAATAAAGAGGACGATAAAGAGAAGTGAAATGACGAGAAAGAAGATGAGGAGGAGCTGGAGAGGAAAGGGAAGAAGCAGGAAGATGAGGAAAACGAAGGACAGGGAGAAGAAAAAGAACTAGGAAAAATAAGAGTGAATGGAAAAGGAGGAGGAGGAAAAGGAATAGAAGGGGAGGAAGAGGAAAAGTTGCGTAGGAAAATAAAATCTTGCTTTAAAAAACTACTACACTACCTCACCGGGTATCTTACATTTCATAATATCCCTGGGTTGCCTCCGTGTCACAAGATTCACCACCATCTAAAATCTCCAGCAAATTTGACAGCCAGATCTAGAACCGGCATATTGGGGATTTTTTCCTCGCTTCGAGCCAGAAGAACCACTATGTTCCCATGGGCGAGTATCGTTTAAAACCTAACGTCGTATGTGAGTCTAGGCCTAACGCAAACCATCCGTGACTTAGTGTTAAACGTATCTCTAAGTCTTGGAATTAAAGATTGTCCTCAGGACACACTAGGTTTCTTAAATAATAATAATAATAATACCTAGCTGGACCCGTGAAAGTACCGAGGAAAAAAGATACTCCACTCTCCATTTTCCTCCTTCGACTTTTCGCCTATCCTCTCCCCTTTTCTTTCATTCTGTCATTTCTCTTTCATGTTCTGCTACCCCTCTTACTCCCAAATCTTTCCTAAATCCAATCCTTTCCTCCTACTTTACGCCCTACTTCCTTCCTCTTCTTTCATCAACTCACCCACCTCTTTCACTTCCCTCTGAACCCTTCTTCTCCCATTTTCCTCTTTGAGTCCCCTCCATTTCTCATGTTTCCTCCTACGTTCTTCCTGAACCACTTGTCAATTATTACCCCATTTTACACCATGATGAAGCGACTTCATGTCCGCAGTCACATTGAATATCAATTCAGGCACAAGACATTTACCTTGTATCAAACTGAAGCGACTTCATGTCCGCTGTCTCAAGACAATTACCTTGCATCAAAATGAAGTGACTTTTCAAGTGTACAGACACACGGAATATTATTGCAATCACAAGGAATATTTCAGGCACGAGACACATATCTTGCACTAAAATGAAGCGACTTCAAGTCCGCAGTCACATGGAATATGAGTTCAGGCATAAGAAGCTTCCTTCTTACAGCAAAATAAAGCGACTTCAATTCAGCAATTACATGAGATTTTTCAGGAATAAGATGCTCATCTTACAGCAAAATGAAGCGACTTCAAATCAGCAGTCACATGGAATATTTCAGGCATGAGATACTGATCTTGAATCACAATGAAGCGACTTCAATTCTGAAATCACATATGATTTCAGGCATAAAATGTAAGCGCAACATGCGAACGGACGGACGAAACACAGAATCGTAATATAATAAACTTAATCTTGGTGTTTAACCAAGAAATAAATGCGGGTAACTGATCAATGACATGGATGTCGAAGGCGTAAAGACAACATAAAAATAATATCAACATAACACATACGCACTTACCATTGAATTTCTCCCTGGAGATATCACCCACTTTGGTCAGCTGACTCAGCAACTGCAGGAACCCTGAGAAGACGAGTCATGTTTACATCTAGCACAAGAATGCATGGCTTATAACATCGTGTTTGTACAGTACCTATAGGAAAGGTAGGCAAATTACTATTGATGGGAAAACAACTAAACGACAGTGTACTGCCAAGGAAAAAACAAAATCATTGTGAAAAGAGAAAAAAGTGAACAGCAACATCATTACCAACTAAGCTCAACTCACAGTGTGTGTCAAACGTTATCTCTCTCTCTCTCTCTCGTATGAGTGTTTAAATGTGCATGGTAATACAGGCAGATTGTTAAATCTATATCTACATCAGTATCAAACACAGTAAAATATACATACAAAACATTTGTATATACTTATACTTACAAATAATTCAAAGCGATTGTCTAAAACGCCCACACTGATTGCATCAACATTCCTACACTAAAAAGCATTACTAAAAATCCATTTTAAGCCAAAAAACACCTCTCAATTCAGAAACACAAGCGACAGCACCATTTAACAACAAAAGTCTACCACGCTTCAATATAAGGAAAATCGGTTAGACCAAGGTTTCTTTCGCCACTGTGAGAGAGTAATGTCAAACAGCCATTCACAACACAGAACATTACGCAAGCAAACCCTCCCACCTCCCCCCCCCCTTTGCCTGCAGAACTTCCTTGCGTTTTAATCTCCATGTATTTGTCTTAAAGCAATCAGTCTGTGATAACTTCCGGAGGATTTCTGCTTCCTGTTAGAGAGCAATGTAGTTGGTACCTTATGAAGGATTTCTTATTTTCGTAATACCAACGGTAGTAGCAGTTGTAGGGTTAATAGTCTTAATCACGTCATTAGAGGCACTAATTATCTATTCTATAAATGACACTATTCTATAAAAGTCACTAATTATCAATCATATCAATAAGGCCACTTACTACCAATCATAAATGAGGCACAATTACTCTTCTACCTGTACCTGGTTTCCTTGTCACTACCGCGACTGTTAAAATTATATACGATTCTTCCAATTAAAATAGCAGATTTTTTTTTTGTGTGGGGGGGGGAGGGTAAGTTAAGGTTTGTCGTTTTTTTGTAATTAATGTCTCAATAATTATCAAACATTACTGCTCTTATTGAGTGATAATCTACATCACAACCTTATTAGTAGTAGTATTGTCAAAAACCTTGCTAGCTTTTAAATCAACATCAACATCACATTTTATTTATTATCATTATAGGTATCATCTCTCTCATCACTAACCAAGACTCACTATAATTATCGGTGATCTGTAACTGTACCATCATCTTCATTAATAACTGTTACTCATGCGATATCACTACTATTACATATATGCACATATATTACCCATCGCCATCACTCATACTACTACTACTACTACTATAGCTCAGCAGCGTAAATGTAACAGCAGTAATATAAATGTGAAACGCCATTCATAAAAGAAACCTAAATATTAATAGTAGTAGTAGTAGTAGAACATTACCGACGACTATATCAATAGCACCACCAACAGTCTCAATAATAATATAATAATTCCTATTATAATAATAATAATAATAAATAAGAACATCACTGACAACAATAATATCAACACTAATAATAATAATAATAATAATAATAATAATAATAATAATAATAATGATGGAAGGCACAGAATGAGGAAGACAGTTTGGGGGAAGGGGAGGTGGGGGGGGGGCAGCCAGACGTCCTTGCAGTCAGCAGCAGGAAGTACGACTCCCTCCCCTCCCCCTACCCCCTTAACTACCCAATAGCTACCCCGACGAGTTCTATTTAACGGCCTTGAGCTTAGATAACTCTTGTCAACATTCTAATTAAATGGTGTCGGTTTTATTTTATTGTATTTTATTTCATTTATTTATTCATTCACTTTTGACAGGGGTGAGAGGGGGGGATAGAGCTCCGCTGACGTCATGATTGCATTTTCATTTTTTTCTTTCTCGCTGGACTGGACTGAACTGGACTGATCGACTGATCTGAATTATACCGAACTGACGGATCTGAACTCCCTCTTCCTCGTCTCATTCTAGGGGACTGGGCGACTGAGCAGGGCCGGTATGTGACTCTCGCCCCGACAGCTTGAGCCTCAAACCTGTCTGTTGTCGCTTGACTTCTCAACATCAGCGTTGCTCACGTGACTAGTTTCTGTCTCAGCCTCTGCCTTTCTTTCTCTTTCTCTCTCTCTCCCACTCCCTTCTCCCTCCCTCTCCTCTCGCTTTTTTACATTCTAATATCCTTGCTTGTTCAACGGTTCCTATAACCACCCCAGCTCCTATGGTCCTCAGCATAAAAGCGTCACAGTCAGCTGGACAGTCGACCGATCGGACAGGCATGGATAAGTCCTTGAGAAAGGAATATTAGGGAGTTTTTATGAAGTAATTGTCTCCCGTAAGAATCCACTCTGATAGGTTCCTTATTCTGGCGTCGAACCGAGGGATGACATTCACAAAACTCCTTCTTGGAAATGCAGTTCTTAACCCTCTTTTTTTTAAATTACGTAATGCAATTCTAGGTTTTTCTTGATTTCTTCTTTGTTTGGTGCATCTGACGTCGCCACGAAACTTTATTTTTTCATAAATTTACCCTACTTTTGACGAACAGAAATTTCCTTCGAAGTACACAGATCTATTTTTTTTCCTTCTAGATAGCTTTTTTTTCCTCTATCGACCGGATGTACATGAAATTCCAGGGAAACCATGACTCTACGCGTTTGAAATCAGATGTGCTTTTGTTCCTACCCTGTCGTAGGTCACTTTACATAACATTT